GCTTTGCTTAATTTCTGTAAGTTAATCCTCCCCCCCCCCCCTCAAATGTCATTGGTTGCAAACTTAAGATTGGCATTTCGGTTTGTGGGGACTTCATGCAGACGTATGTATTGCATATGAGTCTAAAATGCCATGGCTGCAAGCCCTGTGTGTTTGGCTATGAGTCAGTTCGATCGGAGTCGAATCGGGCCTATGCAAGTGTATGCAGTTAGCCTTGATTGGGTCTGAAGGGTTAATATCAGTACAGAGAATTGGACTTTCCAACTAATCCGGTCTAGGATCTATGCTTGTGCAGTGGTACAATTCGGTTTCTGGAACTTGGTGCAAACGTATTTAATGCAATACGACTGCGTTTTTATTTCTTTTTTCTCTGTTATCCACGTCTGCCTCAAGTGTATATAGAGAACCTGGTTTACTCTCAATCATGATTACTTATCATTAAACGTGTCTTAAGAAGGGAGATTACCTATTTAAGATAATCAGAGGAAGATTATCAAGTAGTGATTGAATATCATCTATCACTTGTAGGCACGTGTCTTAGTATTATGCATGTAGCCAGACTTCTTTAATATGTAAACCAATGAGATGAGCTGTGGACATGTCAATCTTTAGTTTGCAACTAATGATATTTGAGGAGGGAGGGGAGATTAATTTATTGCATTGAAGCAAGGGATTACCTTGTCATAATAACAACAATAGGAATCATAAGTTTATTTTAACAATGTCTTCAACAATTTCAACAACATTGCTTCAAATCAAATTATTTATTTCCTTGGACATAAGTGATGCACTTATATGCAGGAGTGATGATGCTTATACAAAAGAGTGATGCCTCGAAACATTAGAGTTATGCCCCTTATATGCTAAAGTACTGTCCCCTATAAATTAGTGATGCCCCTAAATACCGAAGTGATGCTCCTAAGAGTGATTCTCCTATACTTCAGAGTTATTCCCTTAGATATCAGAGTGATGCCCGTATACATCAGAGTGATGCCTTCATACATTTGAGTGATGCCCCATGTACATTAGTTATAACCCCTAAATGCTAGTGTGATGCCTGTTTTACATCAGAGTTATACCCTTTCTAAGCGAGTGTTATGCCCCCTAAATAGCAGAGTTATGCCCTTTCATGCTAGAGTGGCAATCCCTATACATCAGAGCTGCCCTAAAATATCAGAATGATGCCCTCTAAATATCAAGTTGATGCATCTTATATGCCAGAGTGATGTCGCTAAATCACAGTGATACAATTTTTAAGCAAGTGTGATGCACCCTAAATATCAAAGTATATGCCAGAGTAATGCTCTTTGTAGTAAGAGTGATACCTAGCTGGAATACTGTCCCCTATAAATCAGTGATGCTCCTAAACAACGAAGTGATGCCCATATACATCACACTGATGCCCCCTAAATGCTAGAGTGATGCACCCTAAATATCAGAGTGATGCCTCT